ATACACGATGTAGAACAAGGTTAGGCTAGAGAAAGAACAATATATTTAATATGAATAGAAGATATAAAGTAACACTGAGATGGACCACGCCTGCATGGACGAGCCATGCCACTCGATCAACTCCAGTCCATTCAATTCATTGTTCGCGCCTTCTCCATTGTTAGGTATTTCTCCGCGTTAAATATTGAATATCTATTTTCTGAGTAGTCTCGTGTTCACAGCTTTGTGGATTGTGTGGCTATTGTCCAATGCCACTACACTACTCTCCCACCAGAATCAACGTGATGTTGGTTCGATACCAAATTGGATGGGATCGTCGCGCGCCGGAGGTTACCAAGGATAATAAGAATCCTCCGGGTATTGGTAAGCTGAAAGATAAATCAAAAAGAAAGCGGCAGCATCTGGTCGGGAAATACATGTAATAATTTTAAAATATCTGCCTTCATGCTTAAAACGCTTGAAATGAAAATTTGGGTGAAGATTATTTGAACTATAAAAAATGAGATTATAATAATAATAATAATAAAACGATGCGTGTTAATAACTTAACTTATAGGTAGTAATTATTTTGTGTTTAGAAATATTAAAATAATGAATATTGTAGAAATGTTAATATTGGTATTAGTTTTGGTTTAAATTATGAAATCGGATAACGATTATGCCGGTAAGTTGTCCATAAGAGTTGATTTCCAATTGCATCTGTATCAGTAGGCTAACTGAAGGAACAAAAGTATTACCATGGTAAAGAATTCCAACTAGTGTTCCAGTTAGTTTGATACGGTTTATTTAGTTACGGGGAGATTTTCTCAACCTCATTTTTACTTGACCGTGATAGAATCTGGTAATACTACTAATACACATGAATGGTGACCAAAATAAAATTTAAATACGTGAGTGATGATTATATGAATTTTGGACAGATAGCTAGGAACAAATCGTTAAACATGAGCGTATTCGTAAGAGACATGCTCTAGACTCAATGTTCTGATCTGTGGCAGACTATTTACTTGTATTTATACTTGCCGAGTGATTGGACATACAAGTTAGTTGCAAGTATGCAGTTTATCATAAGGCGGAACACGATTTAATTGAGATATAGTGGTTACAAGTTATTAAAATCAGTTAGACCTGTGTCATATTACGAAGTGATGTGGTGCTGCAAAATGTATTTAGCTAAATAAGTTTTTACAAGATGATTAATAGTGAGTGATGCTCATGTGATTATCAGGGAGAACATAAGTTGTAACCAGGGGGAGTACACTCCCAACTCATGTCTATGATAATGGCTTGAACCTTAGTCAGTGTTGGGGTAAATTCGACATTGATGTTTTCAGTTTGCAGGAGATTTGCTCGACTGCTTATACTGATTATTTGCATGCATGATTGTGTCGCTAAACCATCAATTAGACTGACAAGGTTTTGAGATATTTATTGAATGAGCAACTGATAGAGAAACATACTGTAATCATCTGTGATGGGTGAAGATACCAAGAAAACAACACCATTTAATGGTAATTATAAGTCAATTTGTTGACCGATTTCGTTAATAGTTTCATTAATTTTATCAGTCATATTACGTGATTGTCGAGTCGTGACAATGCTTTATGACGATATCCTGAAACTATTAAATTTAACTAGTTATAGTGTTGATTAAGGATTAGTCAGTGGAAAAATAGGTATTGTTGCTTTAGGTGATTCAAAATCATCAGATATTTATAACGTTAAAGAATCCGAGACGCCTAATTTAATTATAAATTTCAATTCAGAAGCATTCGTTTAGTGTTCATTCTAGTAGGCTACGGAGTTTTGATTTTAAACGTTTGTTTAGCCAACAGCTACTTGGGGATTTAGTTATTTCACTAGTGCAGTTGATAGTACCTAAATTTTTAATCTTATTATCTAAACTATGTTCGCATTTTAGGCTGCTAATATGATAAACCAATCCATAAACCCAAATACGATTAGCAACAACGACTATGATGGGTTTATTGATAAATGTTAAAGGCGATCCAGATGATTTCTAAATTTATAAGACATGGAGATATAGTGCAACGTATGTATGGGCCAGGTTAACATGCAGGTTGTTGACGTATATGACGATTTAAAAATAATGAACATGACCAGAAAATAGTTTTAAAGTTTAGACTGCTTGTGAAACTTCAGACAGGAATATGATGCGTTATAAACATTCCATAAGAAGTTACTGCATTTAGCCTAGGGACACTTACAAATATATAGCAAAAGGAACCGGAAAACATATACATGTTAAGTAAAAAAAAATCATCCAGTAAAATAGATGAACTCGCCTGGATTATTTTTGAAAATTAGATTATTCAGTGGACGACATATATAACGCCATTCGTGAGTAGTAATGATCCAAAAGCATCCAGAATAAAACATGCAGTATGGCAATCACTTCCAGGGTGCTTGATGCTGTTGAGGTTTTTGGGACTTGCTCTGATCAGAACAACTGAATGAATCCAGATAATTGTGTGTGCCATTCAATGAGCCATCTAAAATGAACTTATGATTGCAGCAAAACTTATAGCTGGAACTCACCTTATTTATTTGGAGAAGTGTCATCCTTGTTGTTTGGCAATGGAACTCGAGAATATGAAATTAGGCAGGCAGTGGTCAGAAGAAAGATATTACAGGATAGTGCATAGTTTAAAACAGGATGAGGTGTTAACCGAAGGAACACTAAAAATTAGATCCAGATAACTATTCAATCCTTGATTGCCTTGTTAGTCAATGTATATTTACGCTATTTATAGGTCATATTTGCTAGAGCTTGATGTTTAAACAAGTCTATGTCGCTGAAGCAGGTAAATGCTATTAAAGCTTGTTAACGAACCATCAAAGCTAATTAGTTGATATAGATGATCAACTTTTATTATCGATTGAGCCAGTAAGTTATGTGAACTGATAGATATAACATTACGATAATATATGTGACCATTAATCAAAGGACTATTAGAATATTGGGTTTACAAAAAATAAAAACCGATTGGAAAGGTTAAGGTGGAAATAAGGATTAACAATAATAGGTTGCGTTTCTTTAGTTGAGCTCACCAATGTAGAACTATGGTCTACTATGATATATGTACTGCTCTAGTAATAGACCTAATCCTAAACTTGTCGATTTGTCATGATATAACTGCCTAATCTATAAGATCTTACGTGGAAGTCACACCATCGACTACACCAACTCACTGTATCGTATCAATTACCAATACACGATGTAGAACAAGGTTAGGCTAGAGAAAGAACAATATATTTAATATGAATAGAAGATATAAAGTAACACTGAGATGGACCACGCCTGCATGGACGAGCCATGCCACTCGATCAACTCCAGTCCATTCAATTCATTGTTCGCGCCTTCTCCATTGTTAGGTATTTCTCCGCGTTAAATATTGAATATCTATTTTCTGAGTAGTCTCGTGTTCACAGCTTTGTGGATTGTGTGGCTATTGTCCAATGCCACTACACATTTACACCTTTCCTATAGACATGCTAATATCTCGTCTCACAGGTACATCTTACAGACGTGATAGGGTAGCTCAACTCTCATTATCATCGGTGGACACATACACTTCAGTATTTTACTCTTATTATGAAAACTGATCACATGTCCGATTTAATTAGCTCACTGAATTCTGTTTATAGAGAAAGACTTTAGACTGTGAATAATTTGGTGTCAAACTTTCCCGAAACTGTTTTGGAAAGTGGAATGCTTAGGCTAGTTCCTAGACTTTTCCACAGATTTCAGCGACGTCTGTCTGAAAGAATAGGTAAGTGTTCCTATAGGTTCAAAGAAACGTAATTAAAGTTATTTTCGGAGTTTCAAGGCTCCCATTTTACTAGAAGATATTCAAAGAGGTGACCTAACCGTAGTCAATATTTAATTGAAGAGTACTTCAAATCGGAGCCGTCCTCTATTTTTATTATCTTCAAGGTAATTTAAGGGGCCGTCTTCAAATCTAAAACCATTTACTTGCCACCTGACTACAGAACTCCTCATCGAATCCTTCACGAGTGAAAATAGTGAACTGAAAATGGAGTTTCAGCTCCTGTTGGAGCATTTGGAAAACTTTACGAACTGAGATAACCTTACTCAGATTAGATAGTGGTTGGAGGTAGTCGACAGGAAACCCTGGACCCGGGTTTCGTGCTACTTGGCACTCGTCAGCAGGGTGAACCTCTAATCTTGAGGGAACTGGTGCTAACTGGCGGATTCGATCTCGTGTCACCCAGCTTCACAGTCAGAGACGTTACCACTAGAGCGGAAAAAATACAGCAGAACGGACTGTAGACATACTGAAGATGCCACAGGTGTTTGGAGTTTGACAACGCTTTAACCAGTAACACCTACTACGAATCGTACCTAACAAGTGAAATCAATGGATAGAAGCGAAGAGGTTTGAAGACATATTTGATAGACTATCAATATTTCGAGGATCGTTTGATCTAATCTGGCTAGCGATTGCAGGAGTTGTTGAGCACGGCGTTCCCACTCGTGACCTGGTGCATGACCGAGCGCCTTCAGCTAGGTGAGTCCATTAAAACGAGTAAGGTCAGCATCCAACGTCGAAAACTTACAGAGCTGTTTATTTGGGGGATTTATTTACCGATACAATACCTTCTACTCCCTAAGATCAGTCAAATGCTGGAATTCGCTACGGTCTGAGCTAATGGAAGCGACTTTCTAGGAGTCCTTTAGAAGGAAACTTGACATATTCTTAAGGACTAAGGACAATATCTCGCTATGATCTATTATTTATTCTTATCTCTTTTATCGTTAAATATACCTAGTTTCCTACATGGAGGCATCGATGATCCATTGCTACTAGATACAGAAGTTCGTCAAATGAAAGCTTCTATTCCGTCCACAACTATATGAATTATTTGAAACTTCACGATAACACGTTCAACGTTGTGTTGGCGATGTAGTATGTTAGACATTGTGCACTTACTAATCAGTTGACCTTGGATATGATATGATTAAGATTACTCACGTTATATTTGACGTCGATGGTCTTATTTTGGATACAGAATCCATATACACTGAGTTCACATCAAATTTTCTTAGTGAATATAATTTACAGTTCGACTACAACATAAAAAAACTAATGATGGGAAGAAAACCTCATGAAGCCGGTGAAATACTTGTAAAGCACTATAATTTGCCACTAAGTGCTAGTGAATTTATCCAAAGGCAGTCAAAATACATTACTCCAGAAAGATGGGAAAGTGTTCAGTGTTTACCAGGTGCAGAGAAACTTATTTTGCATCTTGCTTCTCATAATATTCCTATGGCCCTAGCTACTGGTTGTTGCAGTTATGAACTTGATCAGAAAATGAGAAGTCATCAAGTTATAATGACCAAAGTATCTCATTCTGTTTGCTCTGGTGACGATCCTACTGTAAGTATGTGACCAAGCAGAAATGTGATATCCCCGTTTAACTTTCCAGAATGTAATATACCAGGGTAGTAACGAATGTATAGTTAAACTCTTCCATTCCTGTTTTAGGTTCTTATCTTTTTCCTATCACATTCCTGTACCTTTTTACTTATGTTGTACGTAACAACGGCAGGAAGCTTCTAAGCTTGTGTCCGTTTTTAGTATACCAAGCTAAATATTTAGCTTGGTATATTTCTTGAATACGTATGAATTTCTTTGAAATTCGCACTGAGATCAGAAAACCAAGAATTTTTGTTATTCCTTTCGTAGTATCCTTTAGTATGTGTTTAGTCTTTTAGCTGAGTAGGATGAGAAAGCAGGTACCATTTCCTTTAACGGCGAATCCTGAGAGTCAGTTTAATAAGACCATGGGAAGGTCTACACATCACGATTATACTCCATTCATAACTTCGGATTCTCCTGTTGTATCTTGAGTTGTGATTACCTGGTTGGAAAAGTAATTAGGAGTGTATATATTTCTTAGTCATTTAATAGTTCATCTCTTAATTTGATAACACTATGCCTATCTAAAGCTTAGCTAACCTATTTCGTCTAACTTTGTGGAATTCATCAGTGGCCTACTACTCTGCAACAATAACCAAATGACAATAGTCTCCAAGCCGTCATTGTAAATAAGAACTGATGACAGGTACTTTCCAATTCTTTTATTGCCACCCTCTATTTATCTTACATGTATCGAGACACTGTGACAGTAATTTGTTAACCGTGTCTTAGACTAGCTTATCAAGATTCACTTGGATTTCTTCCGCATCATCATTTGCATTTCTCCCAATATTTTAACATCGGCGTTAAGTAGCATTGAAAACTAAGTGAAAATTAGGTCATTAACGTAGGATCAATAACAGCCTACTGTTGTTATTTATGGTACTTCACCAAGTACGGGTTTCCAAAAGTTACTTCAGAATTGATTCGTACTCTCATCAGCAAAAACTCGTCGATCTACCGATAAGTGGTCTGCAATCGGTTCTGAGCTTATGAACGTACTGTTCGTGTGCTCGCAAATATCCTGCTCTCGAAGCCACTATGTCAATTCCAAAATAGTTACTAGATGATCACGTCGGATTCTTAGTATATTGCAAGAAAAACAAATTAATCTTAATAAGTCCGATGTCAAACAGTAGTTTAGAAACCCTTGTAATATCATTTTTATCCTCTGAATATTTTTACAGTATCTCACATGTACGTGTGCATAGTTATTAAGTTGTAATTAAAAAACATTTTCAACTGTATTCATCATACTCAGCAAAGTCCTTCAGATCAGGTTCACAACCCTAACATTTTCTGTAGCTTTAAAACATCTTATCATTATAATTTCCAAACTACTCACATTTTTAATTTACATCAATTTTAGGTTAAGCATGGTAAACCTATGCCGGATATATTTCTAACTACCGCTAGCAGATTTAAAATTCCTCCAGATTCCTCTGATAACGTCTTAGTGTTTGAAGACTCTCCAAATGGTGTAGAAGCCGCTCTATCAGCTGGGATGCACGTTGTATGGATTCCTGATCCACGAGAACCACCTGGAAATTTTCCGAAATCAACTTCATCCATTGACATATCACGTGTCACTAGATTAAATTGTCTGTCTGATTTTAAACCTGAACAGTTTGGTCTTCCAAGGTTCGAAAACGACTCTTGATTATGTATGTTTGTCCCTGTGCTTATCTTTATTGTAAAGTATTTCGAAAAATAGCTTCCCGTTTTATGGAAAATTCCGTTTGATTTTGAATGGGTAGTTCCAAATAGTTGTTCACAGAGTGTTTGAAGACTGTGTTTGTTAAAATCCTAATAGTTGGAATTACATAATGCCAACATGTGCCCGGGAATCTTCCCCAACTTTCACTTGAAATTAATCAATTTATCAATGATAAATTAGATCGAAAACTCTTCCTTACTAAATGCGTGTTTAGTCGTGTTCATATATTAGTTTGGTTTGGATTGAGCATATGAGTCATTTGATGTAAAATGTTTTCGAGCAGTGCCATGCGAAGATGTGTCATTGTTATTAAATTTCAGTGAACAAATGAATTCTTTGGTTATAGTTTAAGCTAAATTTATCTTTCTATCCGGTATTGGAGATGGCTGGAAGAAAGTTAAGGGCGGCCAAACCAAAACGTGGCACCAGTGCTTGAAGTCACTAACTTCTAGTCTGAGCCATGTTGGTAGATGCAGACTACTTGTTTGGGGTCAGCGTGACTATCGTAACCAATGGTTGGAGACTCTAGGTGACATGGCTCAGAATCGGTCACTTTTTAAAAAATGTGGTGACGTTCTGTGTCATCCGTTCACAACTATATTTAACAGATCTTTCTCATCTAATCTCATACCAAAAATGTGGAGAAAGATGAAGATAATTCCTGTACCCAAGAAAGCATTTGGTGATAAGAATGTAAAATTTAGACCTATTGCAATAACTTCACCTTTCCTCAAAACCATGGAAAAATTATTATTTTATCAGATACTAGCCATCCCCTTCACTCTTATCTTTCTCCTTGTATATCTTCTGGTAGAACGAGAAGTAATTACATTAAAATCCTTGCACGCAAGGAAAAGTATAAAAGTTCTATAATACCTTACCTAGCAAATATACTTTGTGACGAACAGGTTGTTAGAATTAACCTAGTCAATAACTTACATTCTTAACATGTCTTTAATTTTAAAAGTTTGTAGTTTCCTTTGGGTTTTTTTTTATTTTATTTTATTTCTATTTTATATATTTCTTTATGTATTCGCTACTGCCTTTTGTTCGTTGTTCAGTAAGTAACTTGTTGAAATACCCTGTGCTGAGAATTCTATATTGTACCAAAATATAATATTGAATAAAGCCATTAATAATAATAATAATAATAATAATAATAATAATAATAATAATAATAATAATAGTAATGGCGTCGGTGTATACACTCCCTGTCTTCCCTTAAACTAAGAGATTAAAATCACTTCATACCTTTCTTTCTACGAACCAATTTTTTCCTGTACTATATCTCTATATGCAATCTTTCTCTTATATATTACCACCTTCGACATAACCACTGCTATGAATCCGGTGTTCATCTTGTTGTGCTGATGCGGTATGGCAACCTGGACCGATGCACATATGTGCCTGGTCCTACGTTGTAGCTGACTGACTGACTATCTTTCTGTTCACCATAAAACTGAAGTTACACCTGGACAGACTGAGTTTGTCAAATACACTAATGAGAGCGGCAAGTGACTACAAACTCACCAACTTATAATCTTGCCAGGATCATAAAACTCAATGATCGGGAAGTGATACATGAAATCAAAAATTTCAAGTGAATTCAACATACTACTAGCCATATGAAAGGTGATGAAACAGTCTCAATTCCCGATGTTCACTCCTTATTTACAAGTATACTTATTGATTCTCTTGAAGGGGCTTGGATTAAATTGCCAGATAAAACTTTATTTGTTTAGTCTCAGTCTCAGGTTTGTATAAATATCGTTTCAATACCTATTGACGTGTTTGGCTGCTGATCTGTGCATTGGTAATATACTCAGTTTATAAATATCGATGTCAAGTTTCCAATAAATTGAGCATTGGGTAGAAAGTTAATAATGTATGTCTGTATGTATGGTTCAAGTTTACTAGTACTATGTATTCTAAGGTGCGAAGACCGCTAATTCAGAAATTCAGGTTTATATTCCAACTCTTAGATTTATTGTTGATTAGAATTAAACCGGAAAACGTTTTTAGGTGCAAATCTTATGTTTGTTTTCTTAGAATTTGTGAAGATTCGTAATCCTAATTTTTTGTGCTTATTTTATTCTTCACTTGATATGTCTCACTCATCCTGTATTTTGGTTGCTTGATTTGTCTCATAACTTATTCTTCTACTTAGGCTATTTTCTCACTTTACTATTCAAAAGTACCACGACTCAGTTGAATAATTTGGCCTAGGTTAAATTACTTAGATCACTTTCAGTTATGTTCGATGTCTGGGAATTCTGGCCAACATATGGACAACCCGAAGTGATGTCGACTTAAATTTTCACTTATTCCCTTGTCCATGTTATTAGACCGGCTTAGTCCCTAACAGACGAAATAATCAGATGCTTTCTTGTTCACTTCGACCTGAACCACGAAATATAGCGCTGCTAACCCAATTCAGTAGTTCGCTTCATTATCTTGTTTTCAAATCACCCTCCTATGCATAGTAATTAATGGTATTTGAGTGGAACTAAAGTTAGACAGGTTGCTCTTTCATGTTACTGAATAGTTCTTTGTTTTTTTTAACAACTAATCATCGTTCTCTTTTCCTTCGATGATGTATTGTATGTTCTATGAAAACCATTACTTTGACCTGCAAGGCATTTTACATATCAGTCAGCTACCACGTAGGACCAGGCACATATAGGCATCGGTCCAAGTTGCCATACCTCATTAGCACAACAAAATGAACACTGAATTCATTGAAGCAGTTACTTCAATGGTGGTAATATATGGAAGAAAGGTTGCATAAAGGATATAGTACAAGACCTACCGGGTGATCCCAGCAGATGCGAGCAATATTTCTAAGATATCTGGGATCAAACACTATTAACTTACAAGTGTCTTCTATCTTTAATGGTCACATTTAGCAGCTGTGAAGCAAAACAGAACGGACAGCTGCTCAGTATACTTGTCCCTTAACTGATGGACAGATACATCGCCTTCGCCCTAGGTGATGTAAGTTAGCAAAAACCAAACGAGCTTTTCGAATCTGTGCTGAGATTTCGTCAGACACTAACCCATTAAGGCTGACCAAACTTCCAAGATAAGTGAAGTTGTCGACGCGTTCGACTGGTAGATCAATTTCTGAACATTCAGACGACGAGAACGTTAATTCCAGTAGTAGGGCTTGCCCATCGTGATGAACCAGCCGAGCTATACTGGCTGGAACAATCGTTCCTCAAGGTCCCGCCATGCCAGACAGGCCAGTTGAAGAACGGTAAGACTAAAAGCGGCAAATCCAAGGTCTGACGGCGAAGTCATCTTGCTGACTGTGCAGATGTGTGATGGCAGTAAGGTATTTCCTTCAGACAACCAGCACGACAGCGCTCCTGCCTTTCCACAAGGAGGGGTGCGGTTAGAAAATGTTGGCCATAATAATGCACACCTCACCTTATCCCAAGGATATCCGTCTCCGACGAGCACTGTGGCCACACTCTTAGGTCACTAAGATCATCTCTAACCCAATTTCCTCTTCAGGTACCTACAAAAGAACCCTTCCACGGTGTGGACAACCGGGAACTGATAGCCGCCCTCATACCTCTAGCAGCACTCAAGACCACTGTATTCATAATCAACCTCCCTTTTCAATTCCTATTTTACATATCAACCAGGCATCTTACAGGTCATTTAATCCTGGGAAGTACTTGTATAAATGCTATACCAGATTGCTAGGTATCAATATTTGGTGTTCTGGTATGACCTTCAAAGACCTCTTTTTTCATCCAAAACATATTCATTCACACTTTACGAACCTTTGACATTTTATTACTCGTCACTCACTTTTTTCAATACGTGACCTTGTTTACTTTGATATATTCTCAATTTGATCGGTTTACTTTGTATTTTTGTAAATTGGTATGAATTTAACTTCTACTTTAAGTTTCTGACGTTTTATCTGTCTGAAATAATCGTGGTTGTTTGTTAAATATTAGACGAAATAAGTGTGTTGTTTCGACTAGCGAAGGAATGTCCTAAGTAACAAGAATGTCTCAGTTCTATTTTCCAAATGTCATGTCAATACAAAAAAGCAACTAGTGATACTGTGGTGTGTGTAACTTTTGTAGACGTAAGTAGTATATAACACCAATCAGAAGTTGAATGCCTGGCAGCAGAAGGTTGGGAAGATCGAATCGAAGAGAACGGCGACAGAGAGTATTTGTTATGGTGACGAAGAAACGATGAAGTTTGAGACAGTTGGTGGAGAATTTGCAAATAAAGTATTGAACGTATTGTTTTTCACATTTTATCAAAGAAATTGTAATTTTGTATTAAAATAAACTGGTTGTTCCCACTTGCGTTCTCATTCATTACAATATCACCAAGGAATCAGAAGAAATAGTTACAAACGGGATAAAATGTATGGATTATGCGTTGTTCTAGATAAAGACTCGACTTTTTACGTTGCTGCAGATTTGAAACTGTAGCACCTAGGTTCTCTAACAGTAGTCGGCGAATTTCGCAGAGATTCCAACTAGGAATTGTTCACCGTTCATAACTCATGTTGATCAGTAGGAGGCTTAAACTATGTGAATAGCTTCGGTTAATCCTACTAGGTCCAGTCTTGCTGTAACTAGATTGTATTTTTGATAATTGTTATTATAACTATGTGTATGCGATATTCATAGTTGGGATTCTGTTTTTACATTGTCATTTTTGAAGCATTCACGTAAATTATTGTAACCCATTACTGACAACTACACTGTTCCATCCTAATTCAGCTAAATGTCCTAGCATTTTATAATCTTCCCTAGTATTCATTTTTAGAAGCAACAATTGAATTATCTCAAACTCCAGTTATCTAAGAGATAAACGTCTATCACGCATAACTCGAAAGTCGCATAAAATAAAATCGTAGAAGTGAAGCGGTATAAATTATCTCTCAAAGGAATTTGGATGATCGATTT